TGAACAGTGGGAGGAGAGGGACAGCAGCAAAGTCAAACACCCCAGAGATGTGTGGCAATGTAAGCCATGTGGCTACGGAGACGCTCAACCAGCCAGCCTCCTCTAGGCCAAAAGCAATGAACTATGCCAAGAAGCCCAATGAATAGAGGAAATGTGATGGGAAGCAAGGAAGGAGGGATTTCTGGTGGTAGGGGTCGGTGGAAACAGTGGGAGGAGAGGGACAGCAGCAAAGTCAAACACCCCAGAGATGTGTGGCAATGTAAGCCATGTGGCTACGGAGACGCTCAACCAGCCAGCCTCCTCTAGGCCAAAAGCAATGAACTATGCCAAGAAGCCCAATGAATAGAGGAAATGTGATGGGAAGCAAGGAAGGAGGGATTTCTGGTGGTAGGGGTCGGTGGATCATAGGGAAATAAAGAATTGGTATATTAATTAGAGATGTAAAGCATTGCCTAACTAGCCTGCTTACAAGGAAAACTGGTTAACCTGCACCCCACCTGGCCGGGAGCAGCCCTCTATCCATGGCTGGGCCCACCATGCCCTGCCATGGATGGGGAGCTGCTCCAATGCCCCCCACCCTCCCAGTCACAGGTCAGTTAATTAAACATGTAGTTTAACTTGGTTAACATTTTTAATGGAATCTTACATCCCTAATATTAAATGGGTGGGTCACAAAGACTTGAGGTTCATTCATTCAGCCAGCTAAGGATGGTAAACAGTGGCTCACAAGGAGCTATCAACAGTTTGGTCAGGGCCACATCAGTCCCCCTGACCCAAGGAATTTTAAATAGAGATTGTAAATAATGGTAACTCCCCTCCCCATCCTAGTAACTGAGGACACCGTTTTCCTACAGCTCAAAAGTACCTACTTCCCCACTAAACACAACCTTGAACACACATTTAGCATTTTCTGCTATATTTTGTTGTACCCTGAGTATAGTAAAGAATTCATCGGTCAGTTGCATACAATATACACACTGGCTAAGGCTAGGTATTCTGCACCGCCTTAGCCTGTTTCACTGTACACTTTACCTGATCTGCTAGGGGAGTGCAGCTGCACTGCACTGCCTCATTCCCTATAAACTTTCCAAAATGCCCTTTGCAAGGTTAGTGGAAATCTGAGAGGCTGTGTTGAGACACAACAAAGCAGGTAATTAAAGTCGGTGTGAGGGCAACAGGCAGAGTTATGGTGGCAGATGAAAATTTTAATCTGGCACGTCCTGATGTTTCAGCGCTTAATTATGCAACCTGCGCGTTTCCTTGGCGTACTCTCTGCAAAGAAAGTCAGATGGGGGCGGCCCCCCGCCACTGGCCGTGGGTCGGTCTGTTCCTTGGGTTTCTCCTTGGGACTCTAGAGGGATGCAAACGGGCCCAGAGGCAGGCTACGGAGTTCGGAAAGGTGCGCGTTACAGGCAGGGACTCACACCCCAGCCTGTGCGGGGCGCGAAGGCGATGGGGGGCGGCCCCACCCCCGGCCGCCCACAGACT